TACTACTACTACTGCTACTACTTCTGAGGCTACGACTGCGACTGTAACTTTGACGACTACGACGACGACGACGACGACGACGACTGCGACTGTAACTTTGACGATGGCGACGACGACCACGACTACTACCCTGCTTCCAACTGACCCATCTTCAAAAGTTCACGCTTTTAAACTGTGTAGCGGCGTTTTCTTGAAGAACCCATTGTCGATCCTGCTGTTCTCCTCCTGCTTTGATCTGGGCTTCCACGACACTTCCCACAAGTACTTGCATGAGCCGCCTTAAGTCACTGGCAGTCTTTCCTGTGTTGCGATGGCGATGATGCTACGGGCTGTCATGGCAGGGATGAGAGCAAAAGTAACAACAGCAACGAGGGTGGAAAGCACGCATGTAGCAATCGATAACTCCATCTTGGAGTGAACAATGGAATGATACGTCCGTCGTAGCAGTCAGCAACAGCAATGTTCCAAACGTTTTCGCCTCCTGCATTGCTGAGCGAGTCGATAGGGAGGGAGATAAAGTCACATACGAGTAAATTCACACGCATGTCAGCAGACGATTGTTGCCGCTCTTGGTTTTACGGTACTAGCAGTCAGTGGGCAAAGCTGTATGCCCTCCGGTCGGAACAAGAAGTCTTGGCACAGGAAGCACGGCCTCCTGAACGACGGTGAAGCTGTTCCTGCACCCGTCACACCGGACCAGCAACAACAAATCAACAGCAACAGTTTGAGTTAGATGAAACACAAATCTATGTATCATGCTTGCCGATACAAACTATAAGACTGACAACTGCATTGGGGCATCGAGCTGCCTGAATCTGGCCACTACGCCGCCCGCACCGCTGCCAACTACCCTCGACGTAGCTGCACCCGACGACCGATGGCAAATGGCACGCTCTCGGCTTAAGCTCAACCATTCAGACACTTGTCAAAGCCATGCAACTCTTGATGAACAGATTTAGTCCATGGTTCAACTCAGGCCGCATTTGCTCGGATAAGTCATTCAAGCAAAACCGGTCCCCAATTCCCTAACACCATTCCACCATCACTCTGTTCAGGATGTTGCGGTCATGGGTTTGTCCTGAAAGCTCCACTGACAGCAGCAGGCACCCGGCCGCTGCGAATGCCTAGGCAATCCAGGCAACATCGGCTCGCCCGGCCGACGGACGAGGACGGGTGCAAAAGCTTCCTGAAAACTTGCAGGCGTACTCAGTACTTGTTGGTTAAGTACTGAGACATCTATAGACAAAGGTGACAAAGTTAACAGTTAAGCAACACTAACTGTCACTAACTGCAATTTCGAAATCCACATCAAGCTAAACGAGACCAGAAACCAAACCCGACACAGCCACAAGGTCTGGACGGCAAAGTCCTTCAGGGCCTACCTGTGCCACTCCCCCTGTTCTCCTTTTATGCCAGGGGCAGCGGCTCTTGGCACCTCCTAAGGCCTCAGGCTCGGCCATCCCGAGGAGAAAGCTGGCAAAACTAAAAAACTGATGCAAAATCCCACGAAAATCCATAATAACGCAAACCCTAAAAATCAGATGATGAAAAAAAATGTACATAAACCAGACTCGAAAGCCGCCGTTTCCGAAAAGCTGAAAAACCTAGTGCCACGTCGGCTTGCATTCTGTACCTGTGTATTCAACAACCAACACTTCAATCTTCACACAGAAGTCTGCAAAATCCATGTGGCGCTGGTTTACTGGACTCACACGACCTGTTCAGCGAAAATGTGTCACAAGCCTGCTTCAAAAGAAAGCGACTATAGCAAACACAGCATGCGAAAATACTAACCATGGCCGCCCATGTCCCAAAAGTTCGGCCAGTGACTGCCAGCGTGTCTGTCAAATTAACATGCAGACAACCCAAATCCTTCTAGAAGTTGGCAGAAAGGCCGGATGCCTTGAGCAAGTCGAGATAGCATCCTGCCAGAACAGAAACAAGCAGGAATGAACGAGGGAAATTTCCACTCTAAACCCTGGAAGCCTCTCTTTTGTTCATGGCACTATGGATCTGGAAATGACATGGATGGAAAGGTGAAACACAAACTCCTTTCTCGGTGCACATGGACGAGCGTGCGCTTGCAGCGTGCCACCCCGGTTTTCCCCGCCATCCGGCCCAGCCATGCGAAGCAACAAAGGCAAGAGACAGAGAAAGTGAAATACAAAAAGAAAGGAAGAGAGAAAAACAAAAAAGATTAGTACACCTACACGGATCGAGTCATTATGATTGTGGAAGTCAGCCCACTTCAGCCCCAAAGGTCTTATTTACGCATGTAATGTGCAGTCACAAGAAGTAAGCGGGACTTGTCTCCACAACCGTAGCCCGTTGCCAAACACCACACCGCCGGCAACTCTGGTAACCTCGTCACTTCGCTTGGGAAGGGGAAACATCCGTTCTGGTGCTACTGGCAGCAGCGCAGGTTCGACTCCTGCAAGATCCTGGAAGTGCTACATAAGACCTCATTGTCACATATTTATCCAAGAAGAAGACAAGCCAAGTGCAGCGCATGTCACATGTTTCTGCAGGCCAAAGAACAATCAACATGCAATCAACGTCTCAAAACCATGCAGTCATCAGTAAGGTCCTTGGACTGCGGAGCTCGCGAGATGCCACAGTCTGAAACGGGGAGACTCTTGAGCCAAAGCTTCGAATGTCAAGATAGTGGCACAGGTTGCACCTCTTGATACTGTTTTTCAACAGCTGGACATCTCAGCCTCAAATTTTTGGATGACATTCATATCGTTGCCATTTCCTACTGCTTGCAAGCGCATGAAGGCCAATTCGAATCAAGTATTCTCGTTGTATACTGGCACTATGCAGCGGAATATGTCTCGATCTTCTCGCAGCCATTGCAGGTGTTGCTACTGGAATCAGAGTTAAACATCAACTCGGGGCACTTACAAAGCCTTCTATCCTGATTGAATGTAGGAGCCGCACCCTTTTCCGTGATGTTGCGCCTGGGAGCCCCGGTGATGCAAAAGCAAACGCGACATGGTATCCGTAGAAAGGCTTGAACAAGAAAGAACTCCGACAAATCTTTGTCACCAGACGAATGACCGACGTGCCCATCCGCAGCTCGACTGCTGTAGCACATACAGAGAGTCTGCACTGAGCATTTGCACCGAAAGCAGGCCTCCCAAGCTGCGGACCAACGAAGGACATGGCCTGCCACCACATGGATCTATGCGCGACAGTCGCATGAAACCGTTGGAAAACTAGTGTGCTGACATACATGGCCCACGGGGGAGTGATGCCAATTTTGGGACAAAGCTGCCGGAGATAATCGAATTAGAAACAAATCCGAGCCCACCAAAACCACGCATACAACACACATTCGAGCTGTCCGCCTCGAGTTCGGCGAGGAGCCTGTGCTCACTTACCTGCCATCAAGCATGTGGCAACAAAACGAAGGCAAAGCAGATGTCGGGCCGAGGCCACGTAATCAACACCATGATTGTGTTCCATTTCGACTTGGCCAAGCTACACCGTTGTGGATTGTGTAGCAAGGAAGCCTGGACACGGAAACATAGTGCTTGATGATGTCCAATTGGTGCTGCTTTCAGCCATCGTTAACAGTTGTGGTTGGCATCCTCCTGCCTGCTCCGAGAGCTGTTGTTGCCTATGTTGCACTACCTGTGCCATGGGGCCGCCACCAGCAGGGCATCAGGCACACCTTTTGGGAACTCAACTCCTGGCACTGGACCTGAGTCCAAGCACCGGTCCTGTGTCAGGTCCAGACAGCATCTTCACA